GGTTAGTAGATAGATACACAAAACCCACAACTGTAGTGTTCGATTCCTGGAAAACTAAGGGCCAGTTGCTTCCCTGCCCAATGTTGAGAGTTACATGCAGACAGTCCTCAACTTACAACTGTAATTGAGCCTGCAATTATGGTAGTACGTTTTGACCATTGAAAGACCATATGACGATACCCAACTTTATGACTTTTTTGCAGCAGTTGTAAAGCAAATGCTGTTAAGTGAACTCATGGTTTCCATACAGGTAGTCCTCGATTTACAACAGTTCATTTAGTGACCGTTTAAAGTTACAATGGCATGGGGAAAAGTGACTTATGACCATGTTTCACACTTCCGACCACTGCAGCATCCCCATAGTCACATGATTAAAATTTAGACGCTTGGCAACTGGCTCATATTTACGACAGCTGCCATGTCCTGGGGTCACGTGATCCCCTTTTGCGGCCTTCTGACAAGCAAAATCAATGGGGGAACCAGATTCACTTAACAACGGTGTTACTAACTTAGTAACTACAGTGATTCTCTTAACAACTGTGGCGAGAAAGATCATAAAATGGGACAAAACCCCTTTAACAAACGTGTCACTTAGCAACAGAAAATTTGGGCTCAATTGTGGTAGTAAGTCGTGGACTACCTGTAGTTCATTTTGTCTGGCCATAAACCAGAACATTTCCAGCAAAAATGTTGTAAACAAAAGACACGTGAACACAGGATGCCGCAAAATGCTGTAAATACAATGCCCAAAATGTAGTCATGTGACTGGGGGACCATGAGAGCCATAACTTTGAATCTGGGTCATAACTAGCTTTTCTGGGTGCCGCTTAACTTCAAGCAGCCACTATGCAACAGTCATTAAGGACTACCTGAACTTTGGTTTAAGTCCCAACTGCAACACTGCCATAAATAGACATCAGGCAAAATAACTCTCACCCAGACGGAACCCTTTGCCATTTTAGCAGTGTATTTCTTGTGCTTTTAATTCTTTCTGACATTTCTGCTCATTTTCTTATAGGATTCCCAAAGAAAGGAGGAGGATGCTAGCAGCCACAGAGAAAGGCAGGGGTTAGAGAATCTAAATTTCAGGATCCTATGCAGGTATCAATTAATCAACGTTATACATTGATACGTACGGTGCTTTATGGGTGCTGCAATTTTCACCATGAAGTTTCCGGATGGAATTCAAAGTGCTTCTTTTGACTTAAAAAATCCTAAGGCTTGGCACTTACAGGACTGCCCTCTCCACATTAGAAGCAGCCACTGAATTCGGCCAATATGGACTTGCTGCCAACTTCTCCCAGACAGATGGGGCAAAGGGGCAGTCTTGTTTGGCGGCAGCCTCCCTATTACAAAACAGCCTCTGGACATTAGGTTGGCATCGTCAACTTAGAAATTGGCTTTCTCAAAATTATTGGCTTTCTAGAAATTATTAAAACAGAACATTTGAGAGGGCTTTTGAGTGTAAATAATCCCCATTGCATCGAGTGGTTTTCTTTTCTTGATTTTTATGTGTTTGCATCCAAGAGATTATTTTCCAAAGAGTCCTTCTCACCTACTAACTTCTGGTTAATCTGTCTTCAAGTTAGTAGTATTTTTGAAGAGAAGGGAATGTTGTTTATTGATCTGAATACAGAATAACAGAGTTGGAAAAGACCTCAGAGGTCTTCTAGTCCAACCTCCTCCTCAAGCAGGAGACTATATACTATTACAGAGCCTCGGTGGCGCAGTGGTTAGAGTGCAGTACTGCAGGTTACTTCTGCTGACTGCTGGCTGCCTGCAATTTGGCAATTCAAATCTCACAAGGTCAAGGTTGACTCAGCCTTCCATCCTTCCGAGGTGGGTAAAATGAGGGCCTAGATTGTTGGAGAGGACAATAGGCTGAATCTGTAAACCACTTAGAGAGGGCTGTAAAGGACTGTAAAGCGGTATATAAGTCTAAGTGCTATTGCTACAGACAAGTGACTATCCAGTCTCTTAAACACTTATAGTAATGGAGCACCCACAAATTCTGGAGGTGAGCCACTCCACTGATTAATTGTTCTCACTGAAAGGAAATTTCTCCTTAGTTTTAGATTGGATATCTCTTTGACAAGTTTCCGGCCATTACTCCATGTTCTCCCCTCAGGTGCATTCAAGAATAAGACCCCTTTCTTCTCTGTGGCAGCCCCTCAAGTATTGGAAGACTGCAAGCAGGTCACCCCTAGTCCTTTGCTTTGTTAGACTCGAATTTTTTTACAGATCTACTGCAAATCTTTCAGAAATGTGTTAGTAGATATCTGGGATAGGAGCACAATTGTCCTGTTGTATAGAAACATAGGAAACTGGCCACAGTGATTAAGATGCCTCTCAAGGAAGTTTGTCCTCCCACAGATGACTCTTTTAGAATTTTGAAAAAAAAAATGTAAGGAGCTATTATGACCTTACAACATGCCACTAGCTCATACCAGTGGTGGGTTCCTCCCGGTTCGGCCGAGCCGGTAGCGGTGACAATATGACGTCACCGAACCGGTTCTCGCCACCCCCTCACGTTATTCTTACCTTTTATTTGGTCCCACCCCCAATCTATTGCTGCCTCCTGAGTCCCAGCTGATGACTAGAGGGAAAAAAACTGTTTAAACTCTTGCCGCGGGGCTTCAAAGGACCGTCCTACAGCTGATCAGCGTTAAAAGCAAACAAATGTGTCGGGTCGTAAGTGCAAGGATTGGTCATAAGTGCGAGGATCTTCCAGAAATGACTCTGACCAGCTAGCCATGCCCACCTAGTCACATGACCACACCCACAAAATAAGCCATGCCCACAGAACCGGTAGTAAAAAAAATTAGAACCCACCCCTGGCTCATACCAGGGGCTTCAAGCTTCAAACTTTGTGATTGAGCAGTACAGCCTGTGCCACCTTTTCTCTCACATCGTATGTGAATTCATGGCTTTTTGATGCTCTAGCGTCTAGCTCAATACTGGTATCTTCTACATGTCTTCTGACTAGAAGGCCCAAAATTTACATTCAAGCTAGGGTCATCAGTTTAGGGAAAGCTCAACTAGCTTGAGGCTTCCTTGAATCAAATGTTCCTTCAAGTATCATGGACAGGAATGAAGGGTTGATCTGCTGTGATATATAGCAAGTAAGTTCAGAATACCAGAAGTCATCATGTAAAGATTTCTACAAGACAAGCAGAGGCAGAGTCTGGGGGAGGAGTCAAGAGAGGAATCAGCCTGGAGTCCTTACATTGCCACAAGAGACTAAAGTCCAACCCCCCCACCCTTGAATTCTATGTACTCTTATCAGTGGTGGGTTTCAACAATTTTTACTACAGGTTCTGTGGGTGTGGCTTGGTGGGCGTGACAGGGGAAGGATACTATAAAATCTCCATTCCCACTCCATTCCAGGGGACGGATACTGCAAAATCTCCATTCCCACCCCACTCCAGGGAAAGGTTACTGCAAAATCCACATTTCCTCCCGATCAGCTGGGACTTGGGAGGCAGAGAATAGATGGGGGCGGGGCCAGTCAGAATGTTTACTACTGGTTCTCCGAACTACTCAAAATTTCCGCTACCGGTTCTCCAGAACTGGTCAGAACCTGCTGAAACCCACCTCTGACTCTTATCTGGTGCCAAGCTTGTGCTGACAGTTGACTAAATTCTTGTGTATAAGTGCGAGCAATAAATCTTCTTAACTGGAACTTAACAGGTGGTCCTGATTCTTCCAGCCTGACAAAGCTCCATGTACACACAGAAGAGGGAAAAATAGATGCAAGCAATATTCACAGCTTCCTTCAGTAGAATATGTTGTATAACCTGATCCTGTCCATCATATTTGCTGCAACATTCATTAGCGGTTCATTTTCAGTTTTGCAAGTTGAGTTCCAAAAAAAAGAGTGCAGAGTCAGGAAATGTTGGTCTCACCATATCATTACAAACTTAAAGAGATCAGCAACCCAGGGCCTGCGTTTCTGCAAAACACACACGGGCTGTCCTACAAAGGTCAAAATCTTTCACACCAAAGAAAAAGAGGCACCTGCTACTTTAAAAAAAGACAGAGGCATACAACTTTACCACCACCCACTCTCCTTTCTAAAACAGAGTAACTGTGAGAGAAAGAGGGGAGGGAGGGAGGAGGAGAGAGGGGGGGAGAAGTGAATGCACATCTAAAACTTGAGTGTTTTGAAACGAGTTTAGAATATAATGCTGGGGAGGGATCCTTTTGGTGGGCAGGATCCACAATGATCCACAATGAACTTTTGGGGGGCGGGCAAGATGAAGGATTGTAGTACAAAGAGAAGAAGTGAAAGCTTCCAGGGCTGGGATTTCCCTCTTCTTTAGAAAAAAAAAATAGGGGAGGCTCTGGTTTTTTTTTTTTTTTTTAAGTGTTATCATACCTATTTTGAGAGTTGTGTTACTGTTTTTATATGTTTCCTCCATCAACATTGTTGGGTGGCCTTAATGTTATAAGTTAGGGGTCTCCAACCTTGGCAACTTTAAGACTTGTGGACTTCAACTCCCAGAGTTCCTCAGCCAGGAATTCTGGGAGTTGAAGTCCACAAGTCTTAAAATTGCCAAGGTTGGAGACCCCTGTTATAATTGATCTCTCTACCATAATGAATTATCAAGGATTTTCATTAATCAGGCTACAAAAGTTAACAAAGTGCAACATATGACAGTTAACACTAAAATAGTTGTGCTCCTAAGCCATCTGTAGTTTTAACCAATGCTCATGATCAAAACCTTGTTGCCGATTTCTCTTGGGAGACTTTCATCTTACTGAGGAGCATTCGATGCTAATCCATCAATTCATCAAATAAAGCAGCTCCAGATTATCAGGCGCATTGTTACCGCATAAGCAGCAGAGGTTAAATATGCTTTGAACATTTTTAAAAATACTTCCCCAACCATATAGATAGTCATTCTATTTAAAACAATATTGACTTTGGATTTTGGTTTGCAAACAAGGAAATGAGTCCTTTGTTAGCTGGGTGCTTACATCACTCTTGACATAAATTGCCACCCTTGATATTCTGGGACAGCTATTTCGAAGTCTGGATAGTAGTTAAGCTAAGGAACGGCTTTTCCATTTTCCAAGACAACGTTCAGAAGGAAAAAGCGAAGGCAGAGAAGAGGTATGGAATTTGACACAGTTGTGTAACAACTGATTCTTTAATTTTTGCCTGCAGTCCCACTGCATCCAAAGGGCACAGGAATCGCAAGTTTGGTGTTGGTGGTTTAGATCAGGGGTCTCCAACCTTGGCAACTTTAAGCCTTAACTTTAAGCTTTGCTGGCTGGGGAATTCTGGGAGTTGAAGTCCGCCAGGCTTAAAGTTGCCAAGGTTGGAGACCCCTGGTTTAGATGTTTGGGTTTTTTTTGGTTTCAATGTGTTAGGCTATCAGGTGCAGAATATGTACAGGTTTTGCTTTGCCTGGCTTTGGAGTGAGCGATCCTAATTTTAAAGGAGAATATTTGTAGCTCAGGGTTGAAACGAAGAGTCCTTGGTGCTCTCTGAGGTTGGTTGCTTTCTTGCAGATGTCTCCTTACCCAAATTAGGTAACATCATTGGTGCTAGCTAGCACCTTTGATGTTACCTAATTTGGTTGATGAAATGTCTGCAAGAAAACAACCAAGCTCAGAGAGCACCAAGGACCCCCGGTCCTAATTTTATATTTGTGGGAGAAAGAGGGATCCGTGTTGTAGCAACTTTTCTCCCTTCCTGTGTGTGTTCCTCTGCTCAATGAGCAAAAGCAGAGTCAGAGGAATAGGAGGAGAAGCTGGACTGTAAGAAGAATGTCAGACCAGCAAGCTTCTTTTAAATACGGAGATGTTTGATGCTTAATTTCCGTTTGACAAGAAACAGAAGAGGCAAAGGGCCATACTCTAGATCTGTAGAATCGTGTTTTTAGAATGGATTAACAGAGGTTTTTCCTGCTTTTCTTTCATTTGGATTGGGAATCTGCCAACTACTGCAAATTATTCAATTCTGGATCCCCACTTCCACCTAATGCTGACAAGCAGCAGTATGGAGAACGAGAATGTGTTAATCTATATCAGTGTTTCTCAAAATTGATGTTTTTTAAGATGTGTGGACCAACTCTCAGGATTCTCCAGCGAGAACATACAGGGGGATGAAGTCCATACATCTTAAAAGTTGCCAAGGTTGGGAAAGACTGATCTAAATGGACGAATTTCTGATAGCACAGAAAGCAGCTTTCTATGCTTAAGAACTGTTAAGCAAGGTTCAGTTCTCCAAATATATCTACCAGGCTTGATTTCATCACTAGGAATCAAAACTGAATTTATTATTGCCTTTGAAATACTGGCACCCTTCAAGTATTTTAAAGGCCACTACAATCATACAAATCTTAGAATGAGCAGAGAAGGGAAAGCACAGTTCAGTATAACGATCTCTATGAAAAATAATCGTTAAAACATCTGAACTTGCAAACAAAGAAGCATATAAGGAGAGAAAAAAATCGTACATGGTCCTGCCTCACTTTGACTTACAAGGGACAGGGACACCTGAGAGAATGACACAGATTTCTATTGAACATTTCAGTAAACATCGGATGATCTTTCTAAATAGACTGCAGCCTAACATACAACAACCCACAACTGTCTCACCAGATGTGCTCTGCAAGAGCACTTTCTCTCATAAGCCATCCAGAGACGAATAAACACACACAAACCAAAAGGGCAAAGCAAGAAACTCAATTTTTTTTTTGCATTCTCTCCATACAATTCCCAGGAATTTGTAAGGGATCAATCTAACTAAGGGGAAATGCTTTCCACTTCTACTCTACAGTAGAGTAGAAAAAGTTTTGCTGAATTGAATTGAATACTTTATTTGGCCAAGTGTGATTAGACCACACAGGGAATTTATCTCCGGAGCAGATGCTCTCGGTGTACATGTAAAGCAACAAAATAATGATGATGATAATCATCATAATAATACCAATAAATGGGGGAATAAAGAAGATAATCTGTATTGTCTTTAATCTGTATCATTGGGAATGCTGGGAGTTGTAATCCTAGGAAGTCTGAGGAACACCTGGGAGGATTTTCTCCCCCCTTAAATCAAGGGCAATATAATTATCACAGACAGTTTGGCATCTGTCGAGCTAGGAAACAAATGAACAAAAATCTATTTATACTTCACAATAGTTAATATAGAAATGGTATTTTTAGGGCTTCCAGGCTCAATAAGGAGCCAATCCACTTCTTGCTGGAAAAGTGAAAAAGGCAACTTCATTGCAATGCAGCTTTTCCTTTACAGGTAGTCCTTGATTTACAACCACAATGCAACCCAAAATTTATGTCATTAAGTGAGACATTTGTTAAGTGGCTTTTGCCCCATTTTATGACATTTCTTGCCACATTTGTTAAGTAAATCACTGCAGTGGTTATATTAGTAACACGGTTGTTGAGTGAATCAGGTTTCCCCATTGACTTTGCTCATCAGAAAGTCGTAAAAGGGGATCACATGACCCCGGGACACTGCAACCGTCATAAATAGGAACCAGTCGCCAAGCATCTGAATTTTGATCGCATGAACCATGGGAATGCTGCAGAAGCTGTAATTGTGAAAAATGGTCATAGGTCACTTTTTTTCAATGCTATTGCAACTTTGAATGGTCACTAAATGAACTGTTGTTAAGTGGAGGGATACCTGTATTAGCTGAGCCCTAAACAGCATCAGAAACAACGGGTGTTAATCCTTTTAGATTATACGTTTTATTAAGAGTGTAAAACGGACATGCACAACTATTAAGCTCTGATTGGCGCTGGGAGAACAATCCAAAGGATAAATTCAGTTTTTAAATCTGCAAAATGCCCTTTAGGCTACAGGTCACATTGAAAGAAATCTTGTCTGGAACCCAGATACATCAGGAAAATGTGTAGCATGGACCTAGGCTATATCGATCTAGGCAAAGAGCCAAGGTGGCACAGTGGTTAGAGTGCAGTACTGCAGGCCACTTCTGACTGCAATTTGGCAGTTCAAATCTCACCAGGCTGAAGGTTGACTAAGCCTTCCCTCCTTCCGAGGTGGGTAAAACGAGGACCCAGATTGTTGGGGGCCATATGCTGACTCTGTAAACTGCTTAGAGAGGGCCGCAAAGCACTGTAAAGCAGTATATAAGTCTAAGTGCTATTGCTATCAAGCTCAGGCAAAATCCCATGAATTTGACTTTTGGAAAGGAAATAGGATAGTTGGGCTGGTCATCAGCAGAGAGCAATCCTACAAAGTTTGATGTGAATGTTCTTTCCATTTTATGTCTATCGTAGAGGTGCAATAATGAAGCCCCAACTCTACTCCATCGTGATTCTACTGCTTACCAGGATTAACTATGCGCAAACAGCAGACAATTCTACCCAAGGTGCTGCAGCTTCTACGACACAACAGGCTCCGCTTCCTATCGATAACACCACATCTGTTGCTAAACCCCCTGACAACAATGTCACCTCTCCTACCCAAGCTCCCGGTGACCACAAAACCACTGCTCCTGAAACCACCGAGGACGTCACCTCTGTTACCAATGCCCCCAAGGGCACCACCACCTCTGTTACCGAACCCCCTCGTGAAACGATTGTTTCCGAAATCCCCACTAACAATGTCACGGTTCTTTCTGAAGCGCCCAGCAGCCAGGCCACATCTGCTCCCAGCAGCCTGGCCCCCAACGTGTCACCCGTTCGCACCACCAAAGGATTTAGTGGCGACACTCCGAGGGTAACCGAGAGCACCAGCGTATCGATACGAAACCAGACCTCGAAGCCTATTGTGGCTGGAAACGCAACCACACGGCGGAGCAGCAAAGTCACTAACGCAGTCCGGAAGACTACAAGGCTTACTTCCGCCAAATCAACTACTGGGAACAGAAGCAGCGCATTCCCAGTGCCTTCGTTGTTTGCAATCGTGCTGCTTGGCGTTTCCATACTCTGTTTTTAAGAAAGCGTAGTTCTGTTGCACGCTGCCATTCTGGGTGAAAAGGGAGGGCTATTTTTTTTTCCCTTTTCTTTTTGCTGTTAATAAATGTGCCGTAGTCGGTTCTTTTAAGAAGTTCTCCAGCTCATTTGCCACGATCTTCTCTCTCGCCAGCCTTCAATTATGGAAAAACTGCTGATTTTCTAACCAAAGAAGTATGCCGTTTTGCTTCAGTTAAATCAGACTGAGCTATGGCTATGACTCTTTAATCAAAAATCACAGCTAAGATTAAAAACAAAGCAAACACTAACAGCTTATCTTGTGCTGCTGGGTATGTAAATGGCTAATCTTTAGCCATTGTTGTTTTTTTTAGCATATCCATTAGTCTTCCTGTATGTAAATAGTCTTCTGTTTCTAAAAACAAGAGCCAACGTTTCTCTACCATTCCCTCCAGTTTGCTTTATTTATATTTACACTCCAGTAAGTGGAGGAAATGTCTGAATTGGGATGACTTCCCGCTGTCTCTGAAACCCATGACTTCCTCCGTTGCTTGAGCATCAGCAGAAAATACCCTGAAATCAATTGGGAACATCTCCCTCAATACCCTTAAAAGCTTTCAACCATCCAGTTTTTATTTGTCAGGTCTACAAACAGCTAGGATGGTACTTTAGGTTTACCACAGCTCATGACCACCCAAAAAATTTGCAACATGCAACCAAGAAGCACTCTCCGAAAAGAGGCAGGTACTCACACCCTCGAGATTAAAAAAAAAAAAGTTTGCAATCAAGCCACACCATGAGGAAAGCTGCACAGGCAGCCCTTTCTTGTTGGAGATCCTTGAACGGACTTACAAGGACAGACAGTTGAGTAGGACACAGCTGAAAGATACTTCACGGGTCAAGGCCAAATGTGTGGAAATCCTTCCAGAGACTCAAGTTTTTGTTTTGAAAATCAACAAAATTTCCTTCTGACCAAGACTTCTGACTACAGATGTTATCTGCATATACATACATACATACATACATGTGTGTGTGTGTGTGTGTGTGTGAGGGTATATAATGTGTTTTCTACTGTTGTGTTATTAAAAGCAAATTGAATTAAGGTACCAATAATGCAAATTAAAATCGCTACATAAAACTCCTTTCAGATACCGTTATGGTAGCAGCCAACAGCTTTTCCCAAACTTTTGCCTTCCACCGCTCTTGAGATTCCGAAAGTGCTGCCCATCCATGAATTATGGATGAACATTGCCTTTTTTAACGTTCATATCTGGAGAATTGGTGAGGGGGGTGGGGGGTGGTAATGTCTCAGTGAGTGAAGACTCTGAATTTGTCTGCTGGAATGCTGACAGCCCAGTTTGAGACCCGAGCGCAGCGAGATAGGGTGAGTTCCCCGTTCCTTGACCCAGCTCCTGCCCACCTAGCAGTTCAAAAACACACAAATGCGAGTAGATAAACAGGTACCACTTCTGTGGGAAGGTAACAGCGTTTTGTGCGGCTCGACGTAAAGTCACGTCGGCTCCATGACCATGGAAACATCTTCAGACAACGCTGGCTCCCTCAGTAAGAAACAGAGATGAGCACTGCCCCCTAGAGTTGGACATGACTGGACAGGTGAAACCTTTACCTTTAGGCGGAGACTATTTAACCACTCAGGGACACTGTGTCTGCATTGGGCCATTCTTTTCTCCAAGCAGCCTCACAACTTGCCTCAGGAACATAATCGATTGCAATGACTTCTGGATAATGAATTGGTGAGATCATTTGTATGGTACAACCTGTTCTATATGTTTGCTTAGCTATCAAACAAAAAGAATACGCTGCCATCCAGTCCTTTATTTGCTCATACCTGATTTGTGCAACATTTAATGTTGCCTTTTTTCCCCTATGTTGATTGACTATGCCTATTTCCATGTACTCTCTTTTCATTTTGTGGACGCATCGCTTTGTGTTGGGGTTTTCCGCCCTCCTTTCGCAAACATTCTCTATAGGAAAAAGCTATGATATCCAAGGTGGCATTAACCATAAATAAACCACAAGCTCAGAATAAGAGACAAACCTTTCCCTTCCCTCCTTTTCATTTCTCTGCTAAATAGAGCGATTTACTTGCATGGTTTTGAACACGATTAAAGGAGGGGTGGGAAAAACATGTAAAACTGGACACACACACACCCTTCAGCTTCTCCCTACAGAAGAAGTAAGCCTCTACTTTTACGTACCGTTCAACCTTACTAAGAGGACAGCCACTGCTTGAGGTTTACGCAAAGTAGAAAACAAACTATCCTTCACTAATATAAAATATTCGTCGCATTTAGTGACATTATTCCCTTTGTAATCATTTAACTGCCATGGCCTTCAAGGGGTGGCCCGCACGGTTTTCACCAGGAAAAAGACAACATAGAGTTGGAAGGGACCTTGGAGGTCATCTAGTCCAACCCCCCGCTCACGCAGGAGACCTATACTAGGGATTTGAACCGCTGAACTGCCTACCTTTCTGATCGACAAGCTCAGTGCCTTAGCCACTGAGCCACCTAGTCAGGCTAAAGACGTACATTAATAGATAAGGGCAATATGAGTTGAAAACAGAGCAAAGGAGCCTGTTTGGTCTGGGGGTGAAGATACTAAGCTAGAAACCAGGTGACTGAGAGTTCTAGTCCCACCTTAGGCATGACAGCCTGTTTGGTGACTTTGGGCCAACCACTCAGTGTAGCTCAAAGGGCTGCTGGTTGGTGGGGGGTGGGCAAATAAAGAGAAAATAGTATTAGGCATATTTGCTGCCTTGAGTTGTTTATAAAAAAAAAGTAATAAAGCTGGAATTAAAAAAAAAACCTTTTAAAAGGAAGAGAAACACAACCAAAATCAAAAACCCGTTTTATATCCCTAAAGAGCCAGGTGACAGGAACTCAGTATCTCTTCCTTCACAGGTGATTGTGAAGGATAACGAAGATGCGATGGGACACATCTTCAGCCTGGAACTGGCAAGGCAAACAGAATCTTAATACAGGTAGTCCTCAACTTACAACGATTCATTTAGCGGCCGTTCAAAGTTACAACGGCACTTTAAAAAAGGGACTTGCAACCTGTTTTAACACTTTCAACCACTGCGGCATCCCCGTGGTCATGTGTCCAAAAATGCAGATGCTTGACAAATGACTCATATTTATGACGGTTCAAGTAATCCCGGGGTCATGTGATCACATTTTGCGCTCTTCAGACAAGCAAAACAACGGGGAAGCCAGATTCACTTAACAACCATCTTACTAACTTACCGACTGCAGTGGTTCAGTTAACAGCTGTGACAAGAGAGATGAGAAAGTGGGGCAAAATTCACTTAACAAATGACTCATTTAGCAAACAGACATTTTGGGGCTCAATTGTGGTCGTAAGTCGAGGACTAACGGCACCAGAGAAATGGGGTGGTTCTACCCTTCGAGACCAACTTCTGCCACCGATAGCCTCCCACCGGCCAGTTCGCTCCCACAGAGAGGGTCTCCTCAGGGTGCCATCGGCCAAGTTATGTCGGCTGGCGACACCCAGGGGGAGGGCCTTCTCTGTGGGAGCCCCAGCCCTGTGGAATGAACTGCCCCCGGAAATGCGTAAGATCTCTGACCTCCGGGTATTTTGCTGTGCACTCAAGACCCTGTTGTTCCGCCAGGCCGGGCTATCAACATAATAATTTTAAATTGGGTGTTTTAAATTTCTGGGGTTTTAAATTGAGCCGAATTTATTTAATAATTTTAAATTATTTTAATTGATGTTTGTCTTGTGCTTTTAATAGGCTGTACACCGCCCTGAGTCCTTCGGGAGAAGGGCGGTATAGAAATAAAATTATTTATTTATTTATTTATTTTACCAGTTGTTTCCTTTGGCATTGTTTGAAATCTTAGCACTGGGAAAGCCTGGCTCAACGCAGATGGAACAATATCAGGGAGGAAATGGCTGTCTGTTAGCCTTGTTTTCTAACAACCATGCCATGAGGGACTTCAAAAAATGTGATGGCTTGCTTGCCAGTTTTAAACCATGCCAAAAGCCAAAATTCTTCCAATCTTCTGGCTTCCTTGGTGATTCAGTGCAAATGTATCTTCAGATAGAAATGCTTTGTTAGCTTTCTCTTGCTCAGAGGGTTAACGGAACAGACTTTTAACCATCTCCAAGATAATCCAAGCTCATTGTTCTGTTGTTAAACTACAGGTGTCCAATCTTTTGGCTTGTTTGAGCCACAATGAGTGAAGAGGAATTGTCCTGGGCTGAATATAAAATACAGGTAAGTCCTCGATTTATGGCCGCAATTGAGCCGAAAATTTCTGTTGCTCAGTGAGAAATACCTTAAGTGAATTTTGCCCTATTTACGACCTTTCTTGCCACAATTATTAAGTAAATCAAGTTGTCAAGTCAGTGACACAGTTGTTAAGTGAATCTGGCTTCCCCGTTGACTTTGCTTGTTAGAAGGTCACAAAAGGGGATCACATGGCCCCGGGACACTGCCACCGTCATAAATACGAATCCGTTGCCACGTGTCTAAACTTTAATTGCATGACTATAGGAATGCTGCAACGGTTGTAAAGTGTGAAAAATGGCCATAACTCACTTTTTCAATACCGTTGTAACTTTGAACAGTCACCAAAATGAACTGTTGTTAAGTTGAGGACTATCTGTATATCCTATAGCTAATGTACGTAAGTAAGAAACATCCTTTATTTGTAATTTTTTTTTTTATGATCTTGTGGGGCTGCATTTGTAGCTGTCCAAGGGCTGCATGCAGCCCGCACACAACAGGTTGGACACGCCTGTGTTTTAAACAAAAAAACAAAATGAAATGTGTTTTCCCTCGCTCTCCTGGGGAACCAAAATATCTGACTTCCAGGCTTCAAACAGAAAGCGGCGCTTAACAGATTGTCCTGGAAAGCCTCCACCAAAGGTTCAATTTTTATCAGAACTCAGTCCAACTCAGAAGACCAAAGGCTGATAACATTTAGGTGACCTGCAGTTGGAAGGACACATGACCAGGGAGCGGGGAAAGCAAATGCCAGTTTCTGAACAATAGCAGGAAACCTTCAAAACTCAAGAGACTGTAACCCTGATAACATTAAACTAAACAATGCTTCCACCTACGGCGTAGGAAAAAGTGGCACGTAGCTCTTAAGGACGGCAAATGACCCTCCTGACTGCTAAAATCATGCTCTGCACAACAAAAATAGAACTTAATTGTTACATGCAAGGGACTACAGCTTCAGCCAACCTCAGAGACACACTTTGGGAGGCTTACTTCCGCAACTATGGCTAAACCAACTTCCCCCCACAAAAAAACCCAGCTGTAACGGAAAAGTATATCCTGTGACACCTGAGCAACCAAAAGTTCATTCAACCTCCATATTATTTTTCATGCTTAGGTTTCAGGTGCATCCCTGAATGATAGGGAAATAAGTGTTCTTTGTCAATAAAGGACCACTGTTGCAAAAGAAAGCGAGGGCAGGGGTTTTTTTTCTCGAAAGCCACAGTTCTTGATTACTGAGCAATAGCAAAAAGACAAGAGGCAGGGTTTCTGCTGATGCCCAAATTACAACTCTTGAGAGTTCCAAGTGAGCAAAACCAATGTGCCTGGAATTCACTGATTTGGGAAGTACTACTTGTTTGTCAATCTATTTGTGCTTCTGTGTCTCTTATCTAACTTTTCTCTTTCCTTCCTTCCTCCCTCTCTCCTTTCTTTCTTTCTTTCCTTCCTTCTTTTCTTTCCTATCTATCTATCTATCTATCTATCTATCTATCTATCTATCTATCTATCTATCTATCTATCTACCTACCTCCATCTACCTATCTATCTACCTATCTATCTATCTACATTTGCTGGCTGCTCAATTCCAGGTCAGGGACAGATATAACCCAAAAGATGGATTTGAGTAACATTGCTCATTTACAAATCCTAAAAAACAGAAGCCCCTTTTTAAACTAAATGCAGTCCAGTTCTAAACATTAAATCACAAGTTATGTGTCATCCTAAATGGAGGGAGGAGCAGGAGTGAGCACCAGGGTAGGAGCGCAAGGTGCTTGTGCCCCCTCTTGTGGCCACATTGGGAAAGTATCTGTGCTTATTTGTTGAGAAGGACTAACCATGATTGGGTGTTGCATCGTTGTAGACACTGTAGAAGTAACTTTGTTTTCAGCATTGCTGAAAAGTGATTTTGGTAAAGGCTGGAGTCAGTTGTATTGCTCTAGGGCTAGGCCATGATTTGCTTTCGTGGCTTACTGAATAAGCTATAAACCATAATTTGTTAATTACTATGGCATATAATGACTTCTATCAGACAGTTTGGTGTAGTGGTTAAGGTGCTAGTCTAGGAATCAGGAGATTGAGAATTCTAGACCCACCTTAGGTATGAAAGCCAGAAGATACAGAACAATTAAAACTCGGACCACACGTTTTCTGAATAGTTTTTATCCCAGAGCTATAATTGCACTCAACAATGAACTAAAGGGCCACCATCAGTGAGCTGTTGGACAGCATTACTTGGTCTGTTGTGTGGATGTTTGGGTGGCTTAGGAGTGGGGAATTGTGGTGGGTGGGTGGGGGGTGTTTGGGGATTGTTATGTGTCCTGGTCTTTGGTTGTTAAGTGAATTTCGTTGTATGGGTATACTGTGTATACACGTACAATGACAATAAAGTTATTATTATTATTATTATTATTATTATTATTATTATTATTATTATTATTTATTGGTTAATCTTTAGTGAGATTCACAGCCTTTGAGGCTGGTTAATAGCTCAGCAGCTCGAGTCCTAACCAAGGACCTAGGAACTGTTAAGGTATCGTCGGAGGATGTAAGCTGTTCCGAGTAAGGTGGTTTTTTGTAGAGTCAAAATGTTCAAGTCCGGCAAATTTAGAATTTCTAAATAGCGGGGTAGCCCTTTGGGTATTGCTCCGAGGGCTCCAATTACAATTGGGACAACACACGATTTCTTTTTCCACAGTCACTCAACTTCAATTTGTAAGTCCTGGTACTTTGTGATTTTTTCTTGCTGCTTATCTTCAATTCGTGCATCACCAGGTATTGCAATGTCAATG